AGTAAATGCCGTGGGAATTGCTGACGGTTCAGTAAATGTTAATATGTGGGAGGGGTTGGCTTTAATTCTGCGTTATATTGTTAGTCCTCTCCTTCGCAATGTCAAAATCCGCAATTTTTACGACACATCTCTACTTGAAGACCAGACAACAGCACTCAGCTATATGACGGCGGTCTGTAAATAATCGAGTCTGGACCAGACAATCCAGCGATTGACATCATGAGCAATCGATCTACGCAAATGGGATACGATGACATGCATCAACCAAATCAGCGAACCTGACCACCCTATCCCATTAGTCGCCTTTTACGGCCAGCATGGGTTGCTGAGGACATACTCTACCCCGAATCTTCACAGGTCCAAAAACGAGCTGACACAAAATCCCAACTCATTCATATTGCAGAAATGGAGACTCATAACCTACTGATATTATTAAGTCCACTGATATTAAGTCCATTTATTATGCTCTAATAATGGCGCTACGTTATTATTACCGGGTTAATGGATCAGTGAGTACTCGATTTTCATTCTCAGACCCTGTGGAGTATGTAACTCAAGCTGCCATTCGTGACCAACTCGTGTTATTCCGGGACAAGCCGAATAGCGACTCGTGCCCCTCTCGTGGCCACTTTTGCAACCTGGTTCCGTCTTAGCGCAAACGGGCATACCTAAAACAATTGTCAGCTCGTTGCGCAATGGTTCACATATATTTCCCAATATATTATTTATATTCCAGATGAAATTTAAAGCACATCAGGACATGCGAATTATACAGTATTATTGAACACATTTAACTGTGTCTTGGGTATATTTTTAGATGCAAGACATATGTAAAAACAGAAATTATTTCTGAGGGATTCTTTGACGAAGAACTTGAAATTATACGCGCATTCTGATTGGTTTGTCGTATTTTCGCACATAACATTCATCGATAGGGGGACGAGTCTTCTTGCAGGTTACGGAAAGGGGCGAGTGGTGACGGATGTCAAGCTGCCTGTGAGAAGCTAGAACGTTAACAGTCACATTACTATCACATCCTACCGGGTACCCATTAGCTACTGAGTGAAAAGAGGCATATTTCGAACAAAGTCATTTGCCTAAGGAAGCATCACGTGATCTAGTGGACAGGGCGTCTGCCCGGAAAGCAGAAGGTTGTCGGTTCGATCCCCGGTCGCGTCAAACCAAAAGATGGTACTTGTTGTTACCCTGCCTGACGTTAGACTAGACATAAGGGGGGGGGGGGGGGGGGGGGGGGGTGAATGTACGTCGCTATATAAGTGCAATCATCTTGTACGCGGCGTTAAGCCCCATTTCACCACACCTCGCCTATAAGTAGACCGTTCTCAGCCCACCCCTCGACCACCCTGAGCTACATCATGTGTTAACTGTCTGTGTAAGTATATTCCATCTCACTATAACACAGCTGGAGAACTGATCAATGGGAAACTACGAGGTGTTGACGCCTTAACAAATGACAGAATGAACGATTATGCTACCAGCAGGCAATACATTACACAGAACGTTGATACACGTATATGCGTGGGAACTTTATCGTGTGCTCAAAACATTTTCAGCTTTCTCAAAATTACACATTTCATGGAATAGAAGTTCAAACCAGATCGCATGTATATATCTATTGTAACATACATAAGAAAAAAACAAATTAACAGAGAAGATTAAATTAGAGTTTTTGGGGCAAAAAATATGTTTCCCCATTAAGTGTTCGTAGTTTGTAAAATACCGCATGTTACCCGACTCACTGAGCCCTAAAGGCCGGCCTTTGAAACAACCGCATGAGTTCAGACAAGAGACTACTGATAACCTTATGTGCGAGGTCACTGTTCGATAGCTCATTAATGTCTGGCGTGAGATAAAGTGTTTGACGGAGTATAAATGTATAAATGATTTACTTCGGGAAGTTAATGGTCTTTGTGGATCAAAGGTGAAAGGTAAACTACAATGCAAGGACGTGGCGGGCGTGTATATGTAAGATTAAAATAGAATGTTTTGCCAGCAGATCAATGCCGACAATAAATGACTGTTCCTCCTGCGGTTAAATGTTAACTGGTTATAAACACGTTTTCAATTAGGTTCCAGTAAAATAGTTTGTATGTAAGTACACGGAGCACATGAACAGTTGGGTTCTAGAGATAAGTCGCTTTATCAGTTCAATAACCTTGAACGCGACATTAAACCCCATTTCACCTCACCGCAGCTCTACACGACGTGTTGTGTTGTGTTGTGTTGTGGCAGTTGTGCGGTCTGTCTCGGAATTCAGTTGTTGCTGTTAGTTTCCGTTAGGATATTATCATTTTATTAAATATTCGAAAACAATAACTGATAATAAAAAGTGAGCCCCCATCCTCTCTTCGGGAAAACGAAATACGATTAAAGGAAAATTATTCTTTTGCGCCCTTATCACAACAAATGTTAAAACTGGTGTTATTGGATTAAGCAGGATCTAACGTGAATGTAGCCGCAATAGTATAAGGTTAACGTCATTGTGTAAGGTGAAGTGGTGCGTGAGGTGAAATCGGGTTAACCCCCTGGATGCCACAGGGACATATATGTCCCTCCTCTACAACCCTCACTTTGAAGTCGACTAATATTCAAAATACATCATGCACACTAAAACACTTCACAGTTTTGCATAAGGTGGGAGATTCCCTGTTCTGAGATATCATCCATTAGCATTTTAGGCCAAGCAAAAGTACTGAAAATAACATCTGAAAATTAGGTACATCATAATTGTCGCCATTTTTTACACATTACTAAATCACCACTCACCTCGTTATTTACAGCATGTTTTGAAATCTAAATTTCGGATATTTACTCCGAGAAATGAATTTCAAAAATAGCATATTAGTGATCACGGGTATGTGTCCTTTATGAAATCACCAATGATCATTCCAAAACGTCTCTGATAACCCTAGAATCGTTTAGAATGTTAGCTCATAGTTTGGGATTATGAAGTTTTTTTAAATATCGTCCTTTTTCACTCATATTAGCGACGTTTATGTTGTTATCATGCCAACAGCCATTTGAACATATCTGATAATTTCAAAACCAATTTCAACGTTTTCCAATTTGGCATTTCCAGTTTGCAAAAATGTACACATAAATCTGGCGACTGAACACAGAGTTGAACAAGAGAAAGGGAATAGATATATAGAACATGTATGAGTAAGGTAAAAATAAGGAAGTTTTAATTACATATCACTCATATTGTTGCTAATGCTCATATAGCAAAGTCCAAGTCATTGTTTCACATGAGCATTTCCATTATAAATCAACACCACCGTACTAATAAAAAAAGCAGCACCACAATCCGTTATACAATCATAAAAAACCCGACTCTATCATAAGCATGTGTTTATGAATCACGATGAAATAGTCATGAAGCCAGAAAAGGTGAGCGTATCCTGTGCCACCGCGGGCACTCGTCACCAACACATGCAAAGGCAAGTCAAGACTTAGTGTTCACCTGAACAAACAACAAAAATAAGAACTTTGTTCTCGTTTTGGTGTAGCGGTAACGAGCACTAAGATCTGATTTTAATAAGATTGAACAAACATGAGACCATTGGTCAAAATGGGGAATTGCATTGGACATCATTTGTCACTGATATGGAAATGTCCACATGTCTACCATAAAACTAGGTGTTCGCGACAAGGCGGTCGTATACTGCCCCGGCAATACAACACTATGGCCATGTTGTCTGCACTGTGATGTCAGTGAGTGAGTTTGATTTAAAGCCGCTTTGAACAGTATTCCAGTTATATCACGGCGATTATTTATGGACCGCCGCCAAGGCTGGAATATTGTTGAATGCGGCGTTAAACAACAAACAAATAACACGTTTATGAAAGCCTGTGCTGCGTAAAGTAAGTTCCAAATTAAGTTGTCAATTCTGCCATCGACTACAGAAGGATATGGTCTGTATACGGTATTCCCTATACTCTGTGTTGGCTGTGACAATTTGTATTTGTTGTCAGCCAAATCACCTTCTGCTGTGTGGTTGTCAATCCAGTGTACTCCGGACCCGTGAAGATTCCAGGTAAGAATAGGTCTTCAGCAACCCATGCTTGCCGTAAATGGCGACTATGCTTGTCGTAAGAGGCGACTGCCGGGATCGGGTGGTCAGGCTCGCTGACTTGGTTGATGCATGTCATCGATCCCAATTGCGTGGATAGATGCTCATGATATTAATCATTGGACTGTCTGGTCCATTCTCGATTATTTACAGACCTCCGTTATATAGCTGGAAAATTGCCGAGTGCGGCGTTAAACAACAAACAAACAAAACAAACGAAGGTGTCCGACGCCCACGGACGGACACCGTCGATTCCTCGGATCTGTATATGGTCTTTGGATCAATGATTTCCTGATAGTGCTATCCTTCCGCTGTGGAATGAGAGGGGCAAACAGATTTGGGAACACATGCTTTCCTTAATCCTGCAAAGGATAATTTTATATAAAACATTGATATTCATCCAAGTTATCTTAAGATTCAATTTTCGTAGAAGAATGCCGTATCAACATTTGCTGAAATCATGAAATTGTCCCAATGACATTTGTCTCTTGAAAAATCACAGAAAACATGTTTCATCCCTGACCATACGAATGAAGCATCAACAAATATACACGTGTTCTCTACTGCTTCAATTTCCTATAATGAGTATCGCGATCATTTTAAATCAATGGCTGGAATTTAGGATTCGGCACCCCAAAGAATTTTAATTTCAAAGTTACAACATGTTCGGATGTTGATAATATTTATATAACTTCTGTTTCTTATCACGAAACATATTACGTTATTTAAAATAATGAAATTAAGTTAAGTGAATCAAAGACGTATATACGTATGTACGTCCGTGAGTGAATACACCTTTGAGTTTACAGGAATTTGGAACTTACTGTTTTGAATCGTTTTCCGTTTAATTATCATGGCTCCGATATAATATTTTGCTGATTCCCAGGATGTATCACGTGACGACCTAAAGCATTGTAAACGCGAGGGAAGATTGGAAAGTCAGAAGTATTCGTTTTTTATAGTTTCAAATTTGTAAGTGTCAGTGATATTTTATTACATAAGTGTTGCAAATTGTTACAGTGTCACTATTGAAATTATAATATGAGGTGATAGTTGTCGGAAATTACTTATTTCAGAGATTGACATGACACGGCATGACGCGTTGCGTGTCAGTTTTTGCAGAGAGCCGATCCGACATTCACGTTTGGTCGGGCTAGGTTTAGCCCGAAAACCGAATCGGATAAAGTGATAGTTATGTTAAAATGTATGAGTTTGGTCAAGAAAATACTTTTCATCTATCAGAAACATGGCCATTTTCATGGTAATAAATTGTTGAAATGGGGGGACTCCAAAACACAAGACTTGGCTACTTTCAATTTAAAATATTTTGAAAATATTAAAACATGCATGCACAATGGTAAAGTTAGTTTTTTGCATAGTTGGTCGTGTTATCTTGTTTGTACCCAAGCCACAATAAAAATGGCTGTTCAACCAAGTTCATATCCAAAATTGCATGAAATGTCAGTCACACTTTATGAGAATGTTGATCTTTCCAGTAGATTCCAATATCAACACAACAAATTTCTATTTTGAATGTAAGAATACTAGAAAAACTGTCAAGATAGATGATGAGGGCACAGATGGCCCAGTCATCTTAGACATAAGTTTGAGTATTCTTTTGATGGCTGCCCTGACTGTCCACCCACATAGGCCAGGAGATGACGTCTTCACATATGACACAATATGATATTGTTACAGTCCGCACCATACCTATGCTCGTGAATTACACCAAACTGGTAGTGCTTTCATTTCAGTTTTAAGTCCAACTCGCCCATTCAAGAGAGATGAATAACAATTACACTTGTTTTTGTATTTATGATAATCACAACAGGTTCCTGACGTAACACAACCCTGTCAAAACAGACCAGGCATAGTCAAATAAGGACAATATGCTTACAACACTATTAGAAGAAACAGAGAGCAATATCAGTGCTTGAGAAAAAGAGTTAATTTTCCTAGTTCCAAGTAGTAATGTCACAATATGACTATCTCCCGATAAGATACCAGCATTAGAAATTGGCACTAGTCCTATAGTCCTTCCGAAAATGCCCAATAGTTAATGTATCATAAGGACTAGTAGAAATTTGCCATTTATAAGGGTTTTGCTATATGTTATCAATATAAGGACTAGTGGACAAAAACTGTTAGTTTCTATCGCTGTGATACCTATAGCGATACTTTTTTCAAGATATGATAGGTCGTGCAATACTTAATACGTTGCAATTTTGTGTAAATGTTTATATTTCATAGGGTATAAACACTTTTTAAAAGAAAGGATTGAAACTTTCTGAATGTCTATTTTCTTATTTGAATAAAATGTCTCTTTCAATCGATAATATATTTCAGATAAAACTGGAGTGCCAACATAAGTATTTTCTATTATTAAATGCAGTAGCAAATTCCCTTTTCGCTTAAGATGTGCATCCGAAATTAAGTAAATATGAATAGGTCCATGAGTGAAATGATAGGGGATTTAAATATGAATTTATTCAGGTAATCATTTGGGAATATTATTGATGTATTGACACCCCTAGTTCCAAGTCATAATCATGATTGTAGGTCCCGAGCAACCTTTGGTAGTCGTCAAAGATTGTCCAGACATCGAGTGTCAAGGGTGGTCAAGCCTAGTGACTTGGTTGAAATAATAAATTGTATTGATGATGAACAGGCTTATTACAAACTGACGGATATTAAGCACTGTTTGGTTTTTTGTCCCGGTCATTAGCTGTATATATGCTTTTAACAAACTTTGGTTATGACGAACTAAAATCAGTTGTCTCTGAGTTTCGGGGCTCAAAATTACTAGTGCCATCGTGCCTGTGGCATGCATGAAATAGGAAATGACTCACTTGAAATTTAAGGTACAGTGATTCGTGGGCTCGGTCATTTTCATTACAAGTACTTAACATTTTTATGTTGATTTATTTTTCATGTCTTGACAAAATTAAACTGTGAAGTGAAAAGAGTTTTCCCAATCAGTTGCCAATCTCATTAAAATCAGATCTTAGTTCTCACTACCGCTAAACAAAGATCTGTGAACATCCCATAAGGGGTCACGTCAGAACGACCTTTTATCTGACTAATCAGAGCGTCGCTTACCAGATTATGAAAGTGACAGTCGAAATGTGATTTCTAATCATGCAACCTCAAAAACTTTAACACGGGGTATTCTGAACAGTAGTTACGGGTTAAACGACAGAATCCATACAGTCTAGACCATCTATTAGCCATTCCAGAATGTTCTTTTGTTCAGGTTTCAAATTTGTAATCAAGAATTTGTCAAAATATGTTTCGAAGCCTAGTCGCCAATTTGAAATTAGTGCCGTAAAGCACGAGAAAGCTCCCTTCTGATTGGTCAATCCATTGGCCAGTCAAAGTTCGCTAAAGGTCAGTCTGTCGTGACCCGTAATGGGATGTCATCAGATCTTGGTTTAACTTGGAGAGAGTTATTTGATTGACTGATGAAGCTAAAGGCAGAAAACTCGTAAATATATTAGTATATTTTTGTCTCTACTTCAAAGCTGATAATTAATTAATAGTGAAGTCTTGCCTATTATCTTACCAAGTCCTATTGTTGAATTCCAAGTGTCACACCTCAACATCTTTATCAGTTCCCTGTGGCACACAATACATTTCTTAATTTCAACTGTCAATAAATTATGGTTTATCAATCCAATGATATTGATAATCAATCACAAGTTAAAGGTCGATTTTCAAACTGTCAATTATGATGAATGAGTAAGTTTGCTCCTCAATGTAGCCAGTCAAAGTGAACTACAAATTAAGCCTTAATTTTTTATACTTTGACATTTTTCAATGTTATATACTATATGGACAAAAGTATATATAATATAATCTGGGAATGATTTGGAAGCATTTGCCATATTTGAAGTCCACAAAATCAATAAAGCATGCATTAATTTGTAGCATCTGTCGGATTGGATCGAATTGACAGTTGTACTTTTATTTATCAAAATCAATATGTCCCCTTTACAGCTCAGTACTTGCCAATGTGTTTATTTAGAAATCTTTGTCATGTATAATTCAATACTGCTTAACCTTGAAACCACTGGACAGTTAATGATGAGCCATGGGCTGCTTGGGAGGATTTTACCGGGTGCTTTAATGACTTTTGCTGAGGTTGCACTCTGGTAAGCCTAGCATGGTGATGGAATCAGTTAACATGGTTGGTGTCTACTGCTTCACACGATACTGGAGTATGCCACGTTTTGTAACATCAGGCGTGTTGTCTGATTTTGACTATTTAAAAAAAAGTAAATTGGTGATGTGCCCCTTTTCCAGTTTATTTAATTTTCAAATTGTCAATTAACTTCAAAATACTGAAAGACAGTCTCTGAGGGCCTAGTGGATAGAGTGTCCGCCCGGAGAATGGAACGTTGGTGCTTTCATCCCCAACTGTGTCCTACCCTGCCTGGTGCTATGCATTAAGAGGACATAAAAAGGACTGGTCAGCTTGAAGTCAGTATGCTGTGGGTGTTTGTGTTAAAACTGCAACATGGTATCTCAGTTGGATAGCACTACAAAAACCAGCATAAGTCCACACTAGTTAATGCACGCACATGTTGCTATATAAGTGCAATAATGTTAACTGAAACCCTAAGCCCCATTTCACCTCACATAAAAATACTGAAAAGTACTTCACTGATTTTGAAAGCATGTGTACCAGTATTTGGATGGGGAGTACAGTAGAAAACAGCACTATTTACATGTTAATATGAATAGACTGGGATATGTGTATTGAAAATATAAGTGTACCCAATTAGGGTTATTGTCATCAAAACTTATCATGCTGATGTTACAACTTTGCAAAACAAATGGCCACAGTGAATTGCGATTCATTGATAAGATGAAACTATTTCATTAGTTTAAAGTTTTGCATTATTGCTGTCTGTCAATCCGATCTTATTACCACCACAAGACAAATGTCAGATTTTTAAAATTAGCCTGCAAATATGTTTGTTTTAGCTTCAGTCAAGTTAATGATTACAATTAGCCAACTATTCAGAAAAAAACATCTTGACATCAATGTTCTCAAAAACCCTTTTGAAGGAAGATTTATATAACATTATATTTTTAGCACTATTTGACAGATCTTCAAGTAAATTTCAAGGAAAAAAAGTGGTGAGTTAAGCTTAAAATCACTTTATTTTCCATTTTGTTGTGTTCTTGTTGGTGGGATGTGGTCATTCAAGTTTAAAACAAAGATGAGTCTAGATGTTGATAACGCTGTTGTTGTCATGTTGCACATTGTTCAATTTCACACTAATTCCTTTACTTCTGTATTTAACTCACCTTGTCAGAATAGATAACATAAGGGACCTGGCCAGGACTGTCATGCATTTGGTCCACCACTATACACTATATTATCTAGATCTGCTCAGAGGCTGTATATCAGTGGGGGGCATGGGTGGCCCAGTCGTCTAAGGCGCCGTGATTCGCTGTGCAGTTGAGTTGCGTCCCTTGGGCACGCCAGACACCTATGATTCTGGGTACGAATCCCGGTTCGCCTCGATTATGTTTCTAGGTTTGTCAGCACCATACCCGTGCTCCTGGGTTTCACCAAAGTGGTAAACGTCTGAGACCTGCATCACTTCGGGCTTTCCTCCCACATTAAGCTGACACGTCGTGATATAACTGGAATACTGTTAAAAGCGGCGTTAAACCCAACTCACTCACTCACTGTATATCAGCCCAGGGTCTGCAGCAAATGACAACAACAAAAACAACCCAATTTGAATTTTTTTAAGAATCCCAATTCCTCAGAATTTCCGAAAAATAACAGTAAAAATATCCAATTTAAAACAATACACAATTTTCTTTTTCCAGTTTGCCTGACAGGGCATTTATTTTGGGATCCTAGATAAATCCTTGGATTATATAACCTTGTCCTCTTCATCCAAATATGAAAGTAGATAAGCATGATAAGTGGATTTACTTTAACATTATTTAATTGGACATGATTGATCTTGGAAATTTTGAAACCTTTTTAAGCAATTAAGTGGTCTGTAGGTATTCCAAGGAAGTACAAATTTTGAACAGCCCTTGTCCAAATTGGTCCCAATAGGTAACCCATTGTTCTAAGAGTACAGAGGCACCTAGACTGAGGATCAGTTGGCCAGTATGGGAGTTGGGTATGACGATTTTAACACTGTAAACTCAGGAATGCCGCCACTGGTCACAGGGCTTGGTTATTTAGTTACCATGATTTTACCCAATTCATTTCATATGTTTTTTCTGTTACTGGTGTGTCCTACTGAAATCTGAGCTGTGTACGTCAAGACTCCCACTGTTAGGAAATTTCAAAATTAGAATTAGAACCTCAAATAGCTTATCACATGCTATAATATTTTGACACTGGTGTAATAACATATACCGTATGTATTGTATGCAGTTTACTAATAGTTTTGTAGGGGCGGTCGGGTAGCCTGGTGGTTAAAGTTTTCTCTCGTCACGCCGAAGACCCGGGTTCGATTCCCGACATGGGTACAATGTGTGAAGCCCATTTCTGGTGTCCCCCGCCGTGATATTGCTGGAATATTGCTAAAAGCGACGTAAAACCATACTCACTCACTCACTCACTCATAGTTTTGTATGTTGTCACTAACTAGGAGATTGGCCTGTAGTCTTCAAACCCAGAGCCGGGGTTGATTTATGGAACTAGACATAGCTTGCAGCTGGTGCCTGTTGAGGGGCGGTCGGGTAGCCTAGTGGTTAAAGAGTTAGCTTGTCATGCCGAAGACCCGGGTTCGATTCCCGACATGGGTTCAATGCGTGAAGCCCATTTCTGGTGTCCCACGCCTTGATATTGCTGGAATATTGCTAAAAGCGGTGTAAAACCATACTCACTCACTCAGTGGTGGATGTTGACATCACAACCTTGTTGCACCAACGTAAATTATGTTGCACTCATAACGAAACCTATTAACTATAGATGAATATAATTTGGAAAATAAAATCTTAAATCCCAGATCAGTGTCATTAATATTCGACAAGATTGCTTGGAATGGAATCATATATACATCTCATTAATTCTCCTGCTGTGTTGTTGTGATCATAAGATTGACCTGATAACATTCGTTTGATGACGTCATGCCCAAGGGAATGTCAAATTACACTGGGAGTAATGATGTAGTATGATAAATAGAGTGTTTTGAGTTCAAAGATTGATGTTGTTTGAAAGCGTTCTTAGAAAGCCAGTCAAAAGTTTGTAAAAAAAAATTTGACATGCGTAGTATGCATGTAGAGATACATACTTCCGGTACATTGCATTTTTTAATATGAGGTTGGACTAGTGCATGTTTGATATGGTTAAATTGAACTCTGAGCAGCAAAAGATATCTTAAAGCAAGACTGTTTTAAAATTAGCTTGGGCCTGAAAAGTACTTCTCTATTTTAAGAAAATGCCAGGTTTGGTCTTAATGAAGTTGAATGAATTTTTTTTTGTCCACTGAAGGGTCAATGGATATGCCCTGCATTTAAAACAAGTTATTATGGCCATATTCTGATGATTTAAGAAAGAACAATGTACCTTGTATGATTATGATGATACTCAAAATGCAAATATGGAAATGATTGTTTGCATGTAAACCACTTCAAATACAGCTATTTTGAACTAATTATGCTGTATTTCCAGTAAGATTAACTACTGGTAATAGATCATGATGGAAAGTGTGTCATTAAAAACTTTGTAAATGTTCAAATCATGTATACACAATATGTACACCAAGCATGAATCATGCTTATTTGTAATTATTTTTCAAATACATGGTATGTATATACTGTACTGAAACACTTTGAAAAAGCATATTCAAATTTTTGTTATGAAAGTTATTCTGTGTATTTAGGCATGAGATAATCAAACAAGTGTCATTTTGTCACACAGTCATCGTTCTTTGTCATGCGAGTAGATATTTACTGCTAAGATTGTTTTCTTGTCCTTGGAGTTAAAGTTGATTATGTGTTTTCATTGTGTGTCAGTATATTTTGACTTGGACTTGCAAATAGACATGATAAAGCCAGTTCTAATCCGATGTAAGATACCTCTTTGTCATATTTATTAGCTGGAAGAAATTTATGAACTCGTTATTTTAGTCATTGTAAATACCATGTGTTATATAATCTTTATCATGATAAAAAGGGACTAGGCTTGGGCCAATCAGCATAATATACAGGCCTTGACAGCTACGTTTTTTACTTTGAAACCTACTTTCTTCACATGATAATTCAAAATTTATTACTGGTACATAAATTAGTGTATCCGTTAAGGAGTACCTTAATTTCACACAACGTTGACTCAATCTCACACGATAATTGCAACCAAAATAGGTGCATAGTTCCCCTTTGATATTCTGTTTTGAATGAGTCTTAGCATCCAATAAAGCAGTCCTAAGTTAATAAGTGTTCCTAATATTTCAGAAATAAACAGCCTGGCATGGAACAGAAGCCCGTAGCTGGGAAGCATCTTGGAGGCATTTTAAGAATATTTGCCAAGTCGGTGCGAGATGCTGCAAAAAACAAGAAGCCAACCAAATCCAAACCTCTAGAAAGTAAAGTCAGTAGCTCTGACGATCAGAATGATGGCACTGCATCTGATACCTCACCTAGATCTGAAGCCAGGTCAAAGACTATCATAAGTGGTGATGGGGAACACCTTAGGCAAATCCTGACCATTAGAACTAGACGTAATTCTGAGAACATTGTGAACAAACAAGATGTCAATGATCTTCAGGAACAAAAAACAATTTCCAGTGTATCCAAAACACTTTCACTTGATAATCTAGCTGATCACAGCTTTGAGGGAAAAGAAAATCACTACCCTAAATTTCAGAAGAACAAGGAGGACTCCCCGAAGAAAATGGAGGATTGGGGGTCAGATTTACTGGATGTTGATTCTTGTAGGAGTGATAATAGTCATGATAGTGCTGTAGTCAGTTCAGGTCTGTGTGGTGGTAGTAGTGTCACCCCTGCAGTTAGTTCAGGCAGGAGGAAATCCAGTTCAGATGTTTGCCACAGAACAGTCATCTCTCATGACATCCATGTTCAGCTTAAAGAACAAGAGTGTACCTCCAGTTCAGTGAATAGCACCACTCAGAAGGTCTGTAAACAATCTAAAGAACAGGAGAGTTTGAGAGTCAGAGGAGAAAAGTTAAAGAAGAGCGAGAAAACAGATAGATATCACAAGCATCATCGACATGGTTTTCAGAAAGAAAATGAGTCCAAGTTTCATGACAAACCAGTGGAGAATACCAGAAAAGATGTTAATAAGGTACACAAGAAACACAACATTAAAGATGGAATGCCTCAAAATATGGTTAAGGATTCTTGTCAACCAATGACTCACAAGTTTTCTGAAACAAAAGAAGGTGACCGGATACAAGGTAAAGAAAAGGATAGTACTGACCAGATTGACTCAAAACACCCAAAGAACCTTTCACACAACTGTATCGATAATGGATCAAGTAATGATGAAGACTGGTCCTCGGAACTTCTGGTAGTGGTTTCAAGATCATCTCCCAAGCTGACTGATGATGCTTCGATTTTATGTAGTACTACAGACATACAGGAGGACAACTTGGTGATGTCACCAGAAGAAAACAGTGATTCTGTATCCCTTGACTCTGAGCAAGATTTAAGAACAGTGAAAATTGAAGTAATGAAGGGTGAAAATGAAAGATTTCATTCCAGTCAATGTTCAGCTGTTTTTGCTGAAGAAATGTCTGATTCTCTTGATGTCACACTGACTGGTGGGGAAGATGAGGATTGGTCCACTGATCTCATGTCAGTTCCATCCTCAGCAAGTACTTCTCCAGAAAGTGGGAGGAATCTAGCTATTGCTGAAGAATATGACAATACACACCAAAATGATCAACCTTGTCATGGTGGTAATGAAGTTTCTGATTCAGAAGGCTGTCCTTTGGAGGAAGCTTCCTGTCTGTCTCAGTCCAACCAAAGTGATGACTTAGAGGCTGAAGGAAGTTTCAAGAATGTTCTTGTGGAAGGGGACGAGTATTTGAATGAAAAAGACATAAAAATAAGGAAACAGGTAGTTGATCCTGCGTCCAGACAGTATACTGGCTTTGTGGACGACAGTTCTGATATGGCAAGTGATCATGAATGTGTGTCCGATTTAGATTCTCAAGGGTCTGGTATTGGCAGAACTGAGTCTGTAAATGATGACATTGACAACTATAATTTCCTGTCTCAAGAGGACTACCAGGACCATGCACCTACATGTACATGCCACATACAGTCAGAAAATGATTGTAGCAGAAGGGAAAAAAAAGAGGCTAGATCAGTTTCATTTGGAAATGTTAATCAGGACCTACCGAAAAATTTGCAACACAGATTCCATGAGGAACAGCTACCTAAAGACCGAACAAGAGAAGAGATGTCTCAAGACACAGGTTACCATATCCAGGATACTCCCCCAGGGAACTGTTACCCTTTTCTGTGTATTCCTTTAGAGAATATTAAATCAAGAGCATCGATTGAGAAGCTTATGGAGTATATTGCAAATGTTGATCTTGGCCATCAAATGTATCCCATGGAAGCGAGGAACAACCATCAGGACCAGGGAGGGAGTGTTTGGTTTAATGTCACCCAGAACCCTGACAGACAGGAGCTTCATGTTGGAATGAATCCCCACCACCCTCCAAATCATGCAGGAGGCTATCCATGGACCTGGCCTTATGGGTGGACACCTTACACGGATCCAAGATATGAGATGTATGACCCCAACATGTCGCCCAGCAGACTCAAGGCTTACTATGACAGCATCTGGCATAATTATCAGAGTGGCTATCCATATTCATACATGCATAGTTGTAAGTTTTCATGATAACAAAGTTATGAGACTGTGAATTATGTGTCTTGTTGAAAAAACCCTGAAAATTTCAGCCCTCAAGTTGCACTGTCAGTGGCATTTGTCTTGGTGACAGCCTTACTGCATCAAGTTTTGCTCATCTGTGTTGTAAGTCGAAGTGTATAGCCTTCTGTCCATGTATGATTACATGTTTGTCCTTCATCATAGACATGTTTGTTAGTTGTTATGAATGGCATCAAAATTTAACTTGAATGTTTGGGAAAAAGTGAAAAAATATTTTTTTTATTTTGGCTTGTTTTCACCACTATGTCATTCAGATCTAATCTATTACTCTGATAAAATACCTCTCTGCAAGATAATCTGATATCTGTCGAAGGTTGCACCAGGTGAACCTTCTAATCAGCCAATAACATTGAGGCTTCTAAATTTTCTGTGCAAGCAGAGCACTATGAATAGCATTTCTAATTTCTGCATCTGGAAATCAAATAGTTCCAAATGGAAATAGTAAGTGCCACACTACAGTATTTATGTTGTGTTATACACACTGTTGTTTCTGAGCATCATGCCATCTACAGCCAAACTTGCCATCGTTGGAATGAAGTTGGTAAAGAAGTGATAGGAGGGTTTGTCATATCGTCTTCACATATGGCGTGTGGTTGGTGGGTTGGCCACCAACTCATCAAGGTGCTCATTTCAATGTGCAGAGTTGTGTGCCCAAAACCTATGATCATGGGTTCAAATCCAGATTTGCCCTCCATACCTGTGCTAATGGGTTTCACTAAAGTCGTTAAGGTCTATCCTACATCAGTTTGGGGTTTCTCCTACGTTAAGCCAACACACCGTGATACGAGTTCTGCAGTACTGTTCAAAACAGCATTAACCAAAACTCGCCAACGCAGAAGTATCATATCAGAATAATAGGTATGGTTTGCATAAGAATGATGTATGCCATTATCATTTTTTTGTCAAATAAGTGATAACAGTAAATCTGGTTCCACTTTGAAGTAAATGATACAGAAACTTACATAATAGATCCTTTCATCCGTATATGGTATGTACTGTTATAGCTGTTAAGCAAGTTGAAAATAGGCCTGTGTACTATTGCACCAAATGCTATAAAGCAAGAATAATCATCAGATCTGGATGCAACAACAGATTTCAAGGTGTACGCAAATTTCAATGCTACACTCAGATTACTTGGTATTTAAGAGGTTTATTTGACATGCGCGAAAAGAACAGTGACTTCCTCAAAGGGGATGTAATTCTTCATTGGCACCTTTGCCTTGAGATTTCAGTGATGCCTCCAAATTAAAAAGTACACTCAAATCACCGTCTACCATGTTAACACAAGGCAAGGGAGGCAACCGATGGTGTATTTTCAAAATGGCAGCAATTTTTCCTGCTAGAAAACTTTCAGACACATTTTCTCTGTCAAACATGTTACGTATTCGACGTAATAAGCGCCCAGGAGATATTTTGGTGGGGAAAAAACAGTTGAAAGATCATAAATTTCGTGGTTTATGCTGACAGCCTGAAATGTTTACACACGACAGATATATTTTTCCAGAATTCAATTGCCCATAATTAAGGGTGCATATAACACACGAGTACGTATTTTACACGAATAAATAAGTCTTGTGTACATTAATCAATCGGAAGGGGTGCTGATTGGGATTGTTTACTAGCTAATATATTAGCAAATATCGCCGTGGGCGCTTATTAGAGCGGGGCGCTTATTACGTCGAATACGGTAAATGCAATAAAACTTTAAAAGTGCAAAAATGGAACATCTCTAATGTTATTTCTTGCATTAATTAAAACTTCTCTAATTTAAGAAAATGCATCGTACCTGAAAGTTTGAATTCGGTAGCTGGTAAGCTGATTAACTAGCGAGGTAATGAATTTATTGGTTTATCTTCACCCTCTGATGTCATATTTCAATAAATTGTAACTAAATTTGCTGTAAAGATAACTTTGCAGTATTTTGTAGATATACACTGTGTTGCATGGTGATTATGTTCCAAGCCTATAGCAGTTCGTAATGATACAAGAGAGTAATGGTTGATATGACAAATGCCCAGTAATTTGAGCGCGGCACTAAAATTAACATACGCCTTGAAATCCGGTGTTGCATCTGGACCTGATTATGTTGGATTTCTGCATTCCAAAAATATCTCAGTTATTTCAGACAGAAGTATATGTTCTGTTTACATTACGTTTTGGGGATGTAATAAGCAGGGATTTTCTCTAAACCTTTCAGTGTTTCAACTCACCTGACTCAAAGTTACTATATATGTTCCTTTTTTGTGATGTTCAAACTTGAACCTTGATATGACATTTGTACTTCATCCATGGTCTAAATTCCCTCAAACAGTGCTCTAAGCTCTTTAATAGACATCATCTCCTCAGAAACCACTAAAACAATGAAGCTGAAGCTTCACCTGACTCCCAATTTATACAAGAGGTGTGAATCCCTCTTTCAGTATGGGAGCCAATATTTGAATTATTTGAATGATATTGAAAATATTTGAATATTTGAATATTATGCTGACAGCATCATTTTTGAACCACTGAGCATGGTAAGTGGTTGTCTTGGTTCACATTTTAGAGACCGCCTCCGTGGTCTTGTGGTAGAGCGTCCGCCCGGAGAGCGGAAGGTCCAGGGTTCGATCCCGGGCCGCGTCATACAAAAAGACGTTAAAAGATTGTACTTGTTGTTACCCTGTCTGGCGCTCGGCATTAAGGGGTTAAAACAAGGACTGGTCGGCTCAGAGTCAGTATACTGTGTCTGAGTGGGGTATTCATGTTAAACTGCGGCATGGTATCTCAGTGAGCTAGCACTATAAATCGGCATCAGTCCGGACTAGTACAAGCAGCCACACACACACATACACATGCATGCACGTTGCTATATAAGTGCAATAATCTTGGACGCGACGTTAAACCCCATTTCACCTCACCTCACATTTTAGACGGTTGACTACATATCCAGGTGGACCGCCTCCATGGTCTAGTGGTAGAGCGTCCGCCTGGAGAGCGGAAGGTCCAGGGTTCAATCCCAAAGGGGCTAAAACAAGGACAGACAGTATACTGTGTCTGATTGGGGTATTCATGTTAAACTGCGGCATGGTATCTCAGTGAGCTAGCACTATAAATCGTCATTAGTCCGGACAAGTACAAGCAGCCACACACATGTGCATGCACGTCGCTATATAAGTGCAATAATAATAAAACCCAATTTCACCTCACCTCACCTCACATATCCAGGTGAGCTACAATGCAGTGGTCCTATTTTGGGTAAATCATTTTGAAAGGTTTCTAATTTTAAATTTGTTATTGTATTGCATTCAATTGCAATCGTGCAAATTTGGAGATAAACATACTGTTATTTTACATCACTAAATTGATTTGATAAACATACTGTAATTTGACAGCACTAAATTTAATTTGGATGCAGCATGATTTTTCAAATGTTTAATTTAGTGCAATTCAGTTTGCAAGATCTGAGGTAGAATAGGCCATCATGGTTGCCGTAAAATGTGACTATGCTTGTCGTAAGAGGCAACTAATGGGATCAGGTGTTCAGGCTCGCTGACTTGGTTGATGCATGTCATTGTATCCCAATTGCATGGAACGATGCTCATGATGTCAGTCAGTAGATTGTCTGGTCCAGACTCGATTATTTATACACCCTGCCATGATATAGGTGGAATATTGCTGAGTACGACGTTAAACAAACTAAACAAAACCTAGGTCTACATTGAAAACACATTCTGTTTAACTGCATTCTACCACTATGAAAATAATTTCATCCATCATGTTTTGCCGAGTGTCTTTTAGCTTAGTATTATTTTTTCATTTTTCAGGGGAAGGTGTGGACTCAAAAATGCCAGCTGATGATTGCCAGTCAGCTCATCCAGTTCCCCATGTGGCTACAAGGGATCAGAAAATTGTGGACTATGAATCCAGTAGCGAGGATGAGATCATGGCCAAACTTGCAAGCAAGCATATGATGGGTCCAATTTACAGGAGTACTGGCCATCAGAACTATGTTGGTGCAGAACCTGGCCGTAAATCATATGCAGCATGTGTTACAGGGAACAAGAGATCATTGCCAGAAAATCTGAGGGTGTCTGGAAAGAAGCTTCACAATCTTGGTGCTCCCAAACCAGCCAAAGCCATGCCTGGTGTTTATGTAGACTGGAACAAAAGCATGTTGTATGATAAACAAGAACTTGAAATCTTGAACAAAGAAAAAGTGTGGGAGAAAACTCAGAGACAGGTGATAGAACAGTGTAAGATGTCCTCTGTTGATGGAGAACAGAGAAATGTTACTCAGGGTTTGATGAATAATGAACGCAGAAGCACTGATGGTACAAATCCGAAGCTTTGGAGTCAGACACGGAGAAATCGGTTCATTACTGACAATCCAGACCTTCAAGAAACTTATGAGTTGGGAACATGTGACAGGAAAGAAAGTATTTCAGGAGGGATGAGAGAGGCGATGAAATCTGCTGGATGCTATCCTTATGACAGAATTCAAAAAATGACTCCTAAGTATGAGGAAACAGAGAATTGTTGTAAGAAGACCCACATTCCACAGTTAATCCCACCAGGGCAGTGGTCAAGCTGGGCCATTGGGAAGAGTCCAGAATCTTTGAAGAGGGAAACCCATACTTCTGGCATTCCTGAATATGGTCAAGCATCAAGAAATGAGACGGAAAGCAACCCAATACTGTCCACTCCATCGCCACCTCCTCCTGTGCCTGTATGTCCCCCGTACTGGGGAGATCCGAGGATGAGCTTCCCGGTGCCTACATTTTACCCTCCCCAGTGGCTTCCATCGTTCCCAAACAACTACTCCCCAGGATTCATGCCTTATCCTCCACCACCAAGTACCACTAGCCCAACGAACATCAGCCCAGCTATGAATACAGGCTCCACAACCATCTCTAGTCCTACATCTACCTCTTCTCGCTTCCCATACAGAAGCCAACAGACTACTTCTTTCAGAAGCAGGACAGCGTCGGAACCAGCACCAGTTGTTGATCAAATTACAGAGAGGGTCGAGGAGCCAGGTGTGGACAAGTCATGTAAAAGTTATTTCCTTGCTGCTAAGAACAGACGTGTGTCTGATTCTGTTTTGAGGACTGACAGTGAGGAATTTGTGCCAAGAAGAAGTTCATACGCATCACGCCTACAAAATGATGCCCGACTCAATGCAAACTTTCCTCAACTTGATTGGAGGATCCGTCTAAAAAGTCGGTGTAAAGGGTATGGAGTAGGGTTCATTGACACCCACTGCCATTTAGACTTTCTATTCAATAGGGAGGGCTTCAAAGGAACCTTTGCCAAGTACATGTTGAAACATGAAGAAACATTCCCTGAGAACTTTGAGGGCTGTGTGGCAGTGTTTTGTAATCCAGCATCTTTTCTACCAAAAAGTAAGCACATCTTTTCCTTTTCATGACTTTCTATTAAAGCAGTTCTGATGATCAGTCTTTTGGGCCGCCGTAATATAGCTGGAGTGTGGCGTTAAACAACAGACTATTGCTTGGTCTAGATTTTTATAGTGATTGTACGATATTGTGGCAAGTTGCTGCTTGTGAGTAATGACTCATGTACGAATTGTGAAGATGTTAAATTTAGATTTAGTCTGTGCTTTCTGGTGAAGATTGGGGGCACAGGTGGCCCAGTCGTCCTAAGGCGCACGATTCGCTGCGCAGAGGTATGTCCCTTTGGCGCACCAGAAACCTATGATCGTGGGTTCGAATCCCGGTTCACCCCGATTATGTTTCTAGGTTTGTCAGCACCTTACCCATGCTCGTGGGTTTCACCGGAGTGGTAAACGTCTTAGACCTGCATCACTTCTGGCTTTACTCCAACATTAAGCTGACACGCCGTGATATATCTGGAATAGTGTTAAAAGCGGCGTTAAAACAAACTCACACACTCACTCACTCACTCTGGTGAAGATTGCCATGAATCCGCAGCAACCTTACTTGATTGTCTGGCCTAGATTTGGTTATTTACAGGCCACGTTCATGTAGCTAGTTTATTACTGAGTGGCATTTAACAACAAATAAACAAATAAATTGTTTGAAGATAAATTTTGTATGAATCCCATGTCTTATCTACCCCACAATTTAAAGCTGATATAAACCATTATGTTTGTCAATTGTCTGTTGTCTAGGTGGTTTGTGGAGGGATGTGGTGATGGAAAGTAATGTATGGCTAGCCATGGGCTGTCATCCGAAGAATGTAACCAGTTTTGACACAGTGGCTGTGGAAGGTCTCAAGCAATGCATTAATCATCCCAAAATCATTGCAGTTGGAGAGATAGGACTTGACTACTCTGGAACGTGAGTAGACACAATGATAGACATATTTTAACCTTTCCTATCTCACATGCTTTGCAAATCCTGCAATCGACTGAAATATGCATGGCAGTCACCATGTTGTTTATGAACCGTATGTCGAATTTCGTTATGTAAATCCATAATTCCTGCTTAGTTTGTCAAGGATGGAAACCTGACTTGTAGTCAGTTAACTCCCTTGCCTTGGGAAGATGAGCACTTTGGCACAGCGGACAGCTAATTTTTACGAATGGAACAATTTGTAATGGAATGGTTCTGTCGTAGCACTTTGGTGAAAAAACCCATCAAAACTCATTATGGCATATGTGATACACAACCACTCCCTTCTACACAGCTGGGGGGGGGGGGGGGGGAGGGGGGGGGGAGTGTGCACTGTATTCAAGAAAACATGGTAGTACCATCGTAGGGCAAACAATTGCATTAGTATATATTGTTACACTCCTAGTAGTGTGGAAATGATTGAATAAGAAATGGATTTCATTTCCGAGTGTAGTAATCATCCGGTAAAGGTTATGCAAGTGTCTTGATTGAACTTACTATTCAATTTGTGCTTCAATTTGAAAACATGATTCACGTACTGGAAATATTATATCAGTGAACTTCTGAGTGGATAGTGTATAGTGTAGGTAATGTTTGTTGCAGATTCCGCCAACATGAAGTGCTACAGAAGAAGATGTTTGCTTACCAGCTGCAGCTGGCCCTGGACGTGAAGAAACCACTGGTCATCCACTGTCGGCAGGCCGAGGAGGACTGTCTGGCTATTATGGAAGAGGTATGTCCATTTGCCTGAGATTTACCAGGGTTATATATTTTAGGGGAAGAGGGAACTCACAGCCTTTTGGGGACCCAGGTTTAGTAGTGATGGATGGCAAGCTACAAAATGGGGATCCCAGAGAAATGTGAAAACTAAGAATATGACACATTTTTAAAATTATACTATCTCACACTATGCATTTCTCCTTCTTCTTTCGATCTGGGTGTGGAAACGCTCTAGAGTAAAATTTCCAGCTACAAAAAACATTAATCCATAAACATTAAGCATCATCGCCATGCAGTATTCAAAATAATTTTAAAACCCAAAATTCATGAGACTACCCAAACAAATGAGTCATGCACTGTAATCCCATGCATATCGACCATGGCAAACTGACCACCTGGTACAACCTGCCACATGATTCTTTTTCTTATCGCCAATGTGTCAGAACGTGTTTTGAAAGCAGAGAATTGTGTATTTGTGTATAAAAAAATCTTGGTTCTCAGGCACCCAGCGGTAGACACTAATAGTTTCAGTCCACTAGTCCTTATAATGATAACAATTTAAATAGCAAAACCCTTAAAAATGGCAAATTTCTACTTGTCCTTATGATACCTCTACTATTGGGCAGTTTGGTAAGGACTGTAGGACTAGTGCCAATTTCTAACGCTGGGCACCACGGCATCATCACAAAGTCCTCTGCACGTTTCATGTTGTTGTTTTTTCCCTTTTCAGTTTTAAATATTCCGTGTCTCAAACCCACGACCCCAGCAGTGACATACTACTACACTTAAAAACAATGCAATCTAATATAGCATGCAGTTACTTCCCTTTTCATGCGCATTGCTTTACTGCGTATTTCGTGTGTTATGCTCATGGCGGCAGTAGGAGCTTGTGTGCTTCTTTTGCTGTTAGTAAATTTGGTCAGTGAAAACATGAAATTTACAATAAAACATCTCAAGACATGATGATTTACAAATTCAATGGTATATGTGTACTGTATGCAGGACAATGTTTCAAAAGCAGAGGTTAAGATTACATGTGTTTTTGTCTCATAAAATAAGCCTTAAATAGCAATCAGTTGTTAACACATTTTCTCCTCGATCTATGGGTGATTTAGGTTAGAGAATACTTAATGTCGTGGCCAATATCAGATAACTGACTAGAAATATCATAGGAATTGATAGGAAGACTTTGTATCTCCAATGACTAATGTTCATTTCAAGTTGAGTTTATGGTGAGTTGATGTGATTTGCCGATCAGATCATACACAATTTTAATGTAATATAATTTTAATGTGCCGAAATTAATGTAAACAATATTGAATGAAATCTTTGAGAAAAGTCATATAATTGATTACAAATGTAAGTCCAGATACCTCAATGAACACTTTTATAGCCAGATAGTGTAATAATATGACTAACTTGCGTACTTCAGTACGGATTTGTTGACATGCTTCTTCTGGTGTGTGTGCTCACGATAACCATGATAACGTTTTCACATTGTAAAATAAATCTAAGCTCATTTATGCATACACTGTATTCCAGTATTTTACTCATCAAGGAATACATTTATGTAGGGCTGCCCTTTCCAAGGTTGATTTACACAACTGTCTATTTGGATATTTACTAGTTTGTACAATTTATATCTCCAAAGTTGCCAAAACTTATAAAATGCCTTAGCTACGTCACAGTTAGACACTGATTTTAGTATATTAGACTGTTCTTTTGATAATGATAGCCCTGTAGTTTATCCAGATTCCCGATGGTTAATTCTGACTCGATCGCCGAATGACGAGGGCGACGCCATGTTTGTTTATAAACCGTGAAAGTAGTCCCTACTTGACCTTTGATATTTGCATCTCTATCCGGATATCGTTTTTATCCGTTGGCTTTATCCTGCCGAGAAACCTACCCATTATATGATAAATATAGCTACATGCAACAAGTTCATGTAGAATAAAATTCAAATGTGTTCCTGACTAACCTATCTTGTCCACACAACAACGATCTTTGACCACACTCAATATACCTCTATGCTTTATATACTATACTACATCACTAATTGTGGTGTAATGTGTAATTCATGACACATGACAGTCATTAGGGATCTGGGATTGTACTTTTTAGACTAGTTCATGCATCTATGTTTCATGATGGATAAATTTATGGGACCAGGGTGCAACCTGGTTTTGTCTGGTGCAACTAACTTTTCATGTGAACATGCACCTGGTGCAAGTAATATCAAGTTCCTTAAATTGAGCCCTGTGTATGAGTGGAATGAGGTATGTTGATTCTGTTGGCATGGCATGATAAGGCGCTTACAACACATCAATATATCAGTAATACATGTACATGATTTATCATTATTGCTTGCAGATTGTTCCCAAAAACTACAAGATCCATTGTCACTGTTTCACTGGCACATATGAGCAGTGCAAAAAGTGGCTCACCAAGTTTCCCAAGCTGTACATTGGCCTCACCAACCTTGTGTCATTCCGCTCTGCCACGCCCACTCATGAAGTTGCTAAGTACATCCCTCTAGGAAGACTGCTGTTGGAAACAGATGCCCCTTACTTTGTCCCTAGACAGGTAGGTTCTGCCCATCATGACTGTCTACAGTTATTGTAGTGCTCACTTGACATTACCCTGTGGGGATTCTGGTCTAGGATAGGTCCCTAGCTACCTGTGGTGGTTGTAAGAGGCAACTATATGTTTTGGGTGTTCAGGCTGGTGTCTTTGTTGACTGGGGATCATCATTCCCAACAACGTGGATCGTTTCTCACAAAATCAATCACGGATTGTCTGGTCCACATTGAATTAGTTACAGGTCAGTGTCATACAGCTGGAATATTGCTGAAGTGAGCATGGCATTTAACAACAGACAAACTTGGCATGTTGAGGAGATAAAGACATTTGCAGCTTGCTCTGTTGATAAAGGGGCCCTCTTTAGGTTAGTCTTATTTCTGACATAAAAGAGTTTTGTTTGACCAGCAGTTAATCTGTTGATTGTTGTGAAGATTACCATTGGATAGGGTGTCATCATACCCTGACAGGGGGACACAGGTGGCCCAGTCGTCTAAGGCGCCGCGATTCGCTGTGCAAAGTCGCGTCCCTTGGGCATGCTATAAACCTATGATTGTTGGTTTGAATTCCGGTTCGCCACGATTATGTTTCTAGGTTTGTCAGCACAATACCCGTGATCGTGGGTTTCACCAAAGTGGTAAACATCTGAGACCTTTATCACTTGGGGCTTTCCTCCCACATTAAGCTTACACGCCATGATATAACTGGAATACTGTTAAAAGAAGCCTCAAACCAAACTCACTTTTACTCACTACTGTATAACCCAAAACGTTGAAGAGACATTGGTCCATAAACAGAGTGTGTGAGAATGCGTGCATGCGTATGTGTGTGTGCACGTGTGTGCGTGTCATAGTCATGATATAACTGGAATACTGTTACAAGCGCTGTTAAACCCAAACAAACTCACTCACTCACTCACTCACTCACTCACTCACTCACTCACTCACTCACTCACTCACTCACTCACTCACTCACTCATACCCAGACAGAATAGGACGTTGATCATTATATTATCCACTAGTTAGTCATATTCCTGAGGTTGCATTGTGGAACAGGGTCCTGGTTCGTCTATTTCATCTTTAGACCGCCTCCGTGGTCTTGTGGTAGAGCGTCCACCCGGAGAGCGGAAGGTCCAGGGTTCGATCCCGGGCCGCGTCATACAAAAAGATGTTAAAAGATTGAACATGTTGTTACCCTGTCTGGCGCTCGGCATTAAGGGGCTAAAACAAGGACTGGTCGGCTCGGAGTCAGTATACTGTGTCTGAGTGGGGTATTCATGTTATTGTAACTCAGTGAGCTAGCACTATAAATCGGCATCAGTCCGGACTAGTACAAGCAGCCACACACACACATACACGTGCATGCACGTCGCTATATAAGTGCAATAATCTTGGACGCGCCGTTAAACCCAATTTCACCTCACCTCACCTATTTCATCTTTACTGTGTGAGAATGGGCGGTCGGGTAGCCAAGTGGTTAAAGCGTTCGCTCGTCACGCCGAAGACCTGGGTTTGATTCCTGACATGTTTGCAATGTGTGAAGCCCATTTCTGGTGTCCCCTGCTGTGATATTGCTGGAACATTGCTAAAAGCGGCATAAAACCATACTCACTGTATGAGACTTCCAGTACTATATGTAGCTGAAATTTGCACTCAATGCAAAGTTGTTGTTTTGTTTTTTTTCAATTACATACTTATGTTTCAGATACCAAAAGGAGCATTTGAGTTGTCACATCCAGGGATGGCAGTCTTGGTTGCAGAAGAAGTGGCCAGAATTAAGGAGATACCTGTCGGACAGGTTCTTAAAGCCTGTCGCAACAACACGCTTGCCATGTATGGTATATGAAAGAGATGCAGCCGGTGAATGGTAACTTGATGTCACGTGTCATTTTGCAGCATGAAGACTTTTTTGAAAGAAGATTCACTGAGTGGTGTTCTAGTTGTGAAAGTTTTCACATGACTGTTTTGTTATTCTTTCCTGAAATTGTATTGTCCATGGTTTAAAATGATAATTATTACCAGATAAGCATTAAGTCACTGGCTATTTCTTGGTTGTGAGGGCAAAACCCCATCCTTTATAGACTTCTTAAATAAGAAAACAGTTAAGTGAGACCAATGTTAGTATTCACATATTTTCTTAATGATTTCTGTGTGAAGATAATAATCTGGGCATAATAATATACAAAATATGACATGGTTACATTATGAGACCCTCTTTAATTTAAAGCCAGCCCCAAAACATGGATTAATTAAACATGTGGACTCATGAGGATTTTCAAATATACTATTCAAAAAAAGTTAAGGACCACCTGATTCTTTCATATTATTATAGTCAATCAGTCATGGCCTAACACAATAACTACAGTAATATGAAAGAATCAGATGATCCTTAACTTCTTTTGGGTAGTATATATTTTTATTACACTTCAATTTTATGATGCTAATAAAAACATTCTATCATCCAACAGTGTGAAAAGTCAGAGTTTTGTTTGCCATTGAATCAAGCATCTTTTGTAGGTGTAGAATATATCTACAGTAATGTTATATGCACACTGAAAAAAATAATCAAAATAGAAAAAAGAGAAAAAATGGTTAGACAAAGAGAGAGAAAATAATAAAGGTATATGCTGGGAATGTATAGTCACGCCAGCAACAATTTAGTTCAATAAACCTGGATCTGGATAGGTAGCGGAATAGCCTAGTGGGGAATAAGAGTTGGCTTGGCAGCCATAATTAGACATGGGTATATTATATAAAACTTCAATATTGCAATAAGCTGTGTAATACCATAATATAATTATCTTTTCTAATGATCTTTATGTTACGTAAAGCAATGGGAGTAAGATTTCCCCTTTGAATTTACTGTAAATGTTGTTTTGAATTCCATTTGTTTTTAGTGCTTTGGTCCTATTGTGTAATATGTTTTCATGCACTGTATATTATCTTCAAGGGAAGCTGAGCTCATTGTTCTACTTTCACCTGTTGATAGTTGATCAGTTCAGAAATTCATATCCTATTTGTATTCAAGATACCGATCGAGTTCAGTCAGATTGGCAAATACTGGTAGGCTTTTCCTGAAACTTTAGGATTTGCTATAGAGATGATCAATTGAACTCTTACAAAACATTGTGATTGTAAGTGTAACAACAGCTTTCTCAGTGTGTACTGTGACTGGTATTGTCAGTCCAGGTGATATATAAACCATTGCTCCATCCATATTATCCATATACATTCATGTATCCAAAATAATGGTTGGGAGATGTCCCTCAGTATTTTGTTGAATCCAAGGTAATAACATAAGGTTGGTCATGTTCTGAAACAAATATCTTTGCTCTTGAAATAACAGTGATTTCAATGTTCAGCTTGTCCAAACTTTTAGTGAACGGATTATATGATGTGCAAATGCATCGCTGCCCCCATTCTTAAAGGTTACTGAAATGTGACCTATGTGGGAGAAAATGACAAATCAGTGCTGAAGTTTGCTTGTCTCTTACATGGTGTTTCTGACCAAAGTAATTGCTCACTTGTGAAAGGTGTGAGTGGTATTGAATTTTATCAGTGAAACTGTTTTCAGATATTTTCTAAAGAAACTACTCTTTGATCGTTGCATTGTGTTAATTGAAGGCTAAATTAGGACTATTTTCAACCTGTGACTTTAGCCAATAGTCCGAAGCCCTAGTCTAGTAAAAGTATGTTTGGCCTAGTAAGCTCAGCTAATACTAGACCATATATTAACACTAAAATCAGTGGAAATAATGAAAGAGTCTTGTTCGAGCTTGTAGACTCGAAAGTTTTTGGCATGGACTGTATTTTGAATTTCTGTTAAGTTTGCTTTCTAATACCAGTGTCAGTGTGTCATTTGTATACAGCTTTCATGACAGTGGGACTCCCTGGCCATCTGCTTTGATCCTGTGAATTTGCATAAGATTCAAGTTTTTCTGTACCAGGCCAAGATCTGGGATTTCAAAGGAGGGCAGATATACTTTGTATATATATTAAAAGACATATCTTCAGAAAGAAAACATCTACCATTTTTGTTGAACAACACACGTCGTGTAAACCATGTCGACAACCCTCTAGTACAACATAGTGATATTATATTTGACCATGATTTACCACAAAGAGATCTGTCATTTTCTTTCTGTAGGGTATATGAAATATGGTGCTAATTTGAGATTTTGTGGTTCAAAGTATTCATATGTGCTGCCAAACATCTGTTCAATTTGTTACAACCTTCCTTGGATCATTAAATCTTTACTATGGTTCTATGTTTGTTTTGTTTGAATTACTGTCCGTGGAATATGTGAGTGAGTGAGTGAGTATGGTTTTACGCCGCTTTTAGCAATATTCCAGCAATATCACGGCGGGGGACACCAGAAATGGGCTTCACACATTGTACCCATGTTGGGAATCGAACCCGGGTCTTCGGCGTGACAAGCGAACGCTTTAACCACTAGGCTACCCAACTGCCCGTGGAATATGTAAAATAGTCCTGTGTGGATTCCAGGTCAGAAAAGATCACCATGATGCATCTGTCCTTGCATTTAGCTGAGCCAGCTATAATGAGTTTCAGGTTGATCATTGTGTGTGTAGCCTGATTGATTGTATCTGGACAATATATGTTGCTCTTCCTGTTGACCACTTGTTTTGTCTGACCTAAACTCAATTATTTACAGGATTCAATGTTATTGCTAGAACATTGATGGCTGCTGCATTAAACAAAAATAATCTATTCATCATGGTTTTTTTGGCTCACCTAACTGAAAGTCAAGTCGTTAACCATGTTAACTTTTACATACCGGGTGTCCTCTGAAACCACAAGGCCTATGAAACTGAAACTTTGGTTGAATGATCTTAACTATGGTGTCTCTAAACATTGCTCACAAAAAACTGTTCTGATTTTAAACATGGACACCTTGGCGGACGTATTTTGAAACCCATTGATTGGTCATTGACAAGCAATCGAAAACGCCAGGTGCTGAGATCTTTTCTAGTGTCCAGGTTGTTATTCATCCGATGGACCAACAGTGTTTACAGGTCTTTGAAGTGTTCTCACTAGCACTACTTTAATGTATAGTCACCCTGTGCACTCAAAAGTACCCACTCATCCGATGGTAGATGACCAGATGGTGGCAACAGGAATACTTTTATACACTCGAAACAAAGTATCAAAATGTTGGTGCAACCTGGGCAAGTGCCTTAGTCCAAATGTGCCTTAGTCCAAATATGCCCCGGTTCACCCAGCAGGAAGTTGGTACCTGATGTGTTAGGTGGGTGCAAAAATCTCTCTAGCACCTGGAGGCAGCTTAGATTGTATGCTACCCAGGGAGTTGAGAATGTTAACGGGAATGCATAAAGATCATCTGGCAAGGAACAAATAAACCACATTTGAGCAGAAACTAGTATCTGGATGTGGTAAATAATTCTTTTTTTCATGATGTATTGAAATGTAGTGTATTTGTAGTTTAGAGTGGGCCTAACATCTGTGCCACTTTTTGCAACAATGTGAAGTTTTACCTTGATTCCACCTTCACACCATAGTAGTTGGTATCGCCAAAGTGAAACTGCAATTTGAATGGTGTGTCAGTTGCCCTTCAGTTGGTCAAAGCCAAAAGCCATTGCTTCCTCCGCGTAGGCAAGGACTGGTGACCTACAGCACTTCAAATTGGGTCTCTTCCTTTGGTGAACTATTAAAAAGGTACATGACCCTATGATGCTGGAGGGCACGTGTGACCCATTCGTCTAAGGCGCAGGGATTGCTGTGCGGAGTTGCGTCCCTTGGACACGCCAGAAACCTGAATGTGGGTTTGAATCCCGGTTCTCCCAGATTATGTTTCTAGGTTTGTCAGCACCATACCCCAGCTCGTGGGTTTCACCGAAAAGGTAAACGTCTGAGACCTGCATCACTTCGGGCTTTCCTCCAACATTAAGCTGACACACCGATATAACAGGAATACTGTCAAAAGAAGCGATAAACCCAACTCACTCACTATGAAGGGGACGCTGGTTTTTGCGGTTGTAAGAGCTGTGCACTTTTACTATGATTTTTAACATCTTATTCTGTGACTGATGAAGCTGAAATTTGGCATGAAGTTTCCTTTTCTGAAGACATTATTTTGTTCAAATCAATGTGATTGTATTGTAATTTTTTGGTTTGAATATTTCAACCCCTATTTTTACATAAAGTTCTGAAACCTTTTCTTTGGAACTACAAGGCTAAAGTCACTATTTGAGCTGGGTATCGTTGATGTAATCATGACAGATTAACTATAGTAATATGAAAGAATCCGATGGTCCGTAAATATTTGTTTGATAGTACATTGTATGGGCCATCATGATGCACCTGTAAAGTTGACCTGTGAAGATCCGGGGTAGAATAGGTCTTCAGCAACCCATTCGTGCCGTAAAAGGCTTCTATGCTTGTCGTAAGAGGCGACTAACGAGATCGGGTGGTCAGGCTCGCTGTCTTGGTTGATGCATGTCATCGTATCCCAATTGCGTGGATTGATTCTCATGATGTCAATCGCTGGATTGCCTGGTCCAGACTCGATTGTTTACAGACCGCCGTCATATGGCTGGAATATAGCTGAGTGCGGCATTAAACAACAAACAACCAAACCTGTAAAGTTGCTAACTGATGCAGAACTACGGTGGCCCATACCCGCGACTGGTGAGATCATTTCCCCCTGTATACCTCTATATTTATCTGGCGGCCGCCAGATACCAGTACTTCCACTGATGAGATCTTATTCTCTGCTAATGGCTCATCAAGCAGGTGATACCTACTTTAGAATCAAAGTTCAATCTGACGGATACAATCTCCAACCTGTTGATTGCCAGGGCACTGATCTGGATGTAATTCTGCTCACACGTGGTATGCCAATTTGAAATGAAAAGTATCTGGCAAAATATTGAGGCATACAGTGAAAAATGATCTCACCAGCGGAAGTATCTGACGGCCGCCAGAAAAGTATTTAGCGGCCGCCAGATACAACATAGAGGTATACAGGGGAAAATGATCTCACCAGTGGCGGGTATTGGCCACCGTACAAAACAATGGTTTACGGGTTTCTATGTATTCATAGGCCTGTTAAACTTTACCATAAAATATGCCTGTTTTACAAACAATTGTAAAGATTTTTTTCAATGGAGGTAGATGAAGTCATTGGTGTTGTGTTTACATACGATAAAGGTCTACAACTTCTTAACTCACATGACGCAACCTGGGGAAGTCAGTTTGATTGCATCATTGTGCACGCGCGGCAACTGTTGGCACTTGAGTAAAAGAAGTCCGAACACCAGACTATCGTGGAGTTTGGGTACGACCCAGGAACGTTACAGTTGGCTGGAACCAAACTTGCTAGGATTTTAAGGTGATTCTCAATTTGCATGGCGCACAACTTGGATGTTTGGGTGTTTGCCATGCCATGGACAGCTGAGTGAGTGAGATTTAACTCCGCTTTGAACAGTATTCCAGTTATATCAGGGCGTGACAGCTTATTGTGGGAGGAAAGTCCGAAGTGATGCGGGTCTTAGACGTTAACCACTTAGGTGAAGTGTACGCTACCAGGACGCGACGTTCGAGATATGCCCTACCCTTTGTGCAAATGCATGGACGTAACGTCACGTTGCAACAGGATGAAGACCGCCCACATGTGTTGCAGCAGGCTTTTTGAGGCAGCGATATTCCTGTACTGCCATGGCCGTCTGTTTCTCCAGACCCCCCCCCCCCCCCCCCCCCCATATTGCATATTACGTGACCGGACTTTTCTCTTGTTTGTAAACAAACGCGCTTTTTCAGAAATCAGTATAGAACGGACTAATGCAAGTATTTGGGGGCGCTTTACATATTGTTTTGCATAATTATATAGATATGCTCCTATAACTGCGACAGTGAGTTGCATGACAATATATATATATATATATATATATATATATATATATATATATATATATATATATACTCTTCAAAAAAAAGAAATTTGACGCTGACTTTCAAAATGTAATATAATGCGATTGTTTCAAAATAGGACACAGAAACCATAACTGAAACACTGTTTGAAGATCAATGTACACAATGTTCAAAACATTAATCGTGTCACCTAGACAGACACACGTACACGATACAGTTAATGTCACAGGGGTACAGAAAATGTCAGTATCGGTTGTGCTCACCACGTGCATCAATCACCGCTTGACACCGACGACCCATAGATGCAATCAAGTTGTCAATAACACGCTGCTGGATGTGCTGCTATTCATGCTGAAGTGCATCAAGATGCGCCGGAAGTGTTTGGGGCGGTGGATTCCTTCTGCGAACGCGTCGATCCAACTTGTCCCACAGATGCACAATCTAGGACAAATCTGGTGACCGGGCTGGCCAAGGTAATGTCTGGATGTTGTGCTGTAAGAAGTCCTGACAAACACGTGCAATATGCGGTCAAGCGTTGTCCAGCTGGAACTGTCCGCCATGAACGTTCACGTGAGGAAGAACGTAAGGCTGTAGGATCAAGTCTCTGTGTAACGCACACCTGTCAAAGCACCTGCCACATGCACGTGAGGCGTCCTACCACCGTGATGAATTCCGGCCCATACCATGACACTCCCACCGCCAAATGGGACAACCTGCTGCACACAGTATGGGGCGTAACGTTCACCCCGACGTCTGTAGACACGTGCGCGCCCATCAGCACGTGTGAGTAGGAAACGGGACTCGTCAGTAAACAGTACATTTCTCCACCTTGCACGTGCCCATCTAACCCTCTGTTGGCACCAAAGCAAACGGTCCGCCAGATGACGTGGGGTCAATACATGACGTCGAACAGGTCTTTGTGCAAAAAGTCCAGCCTCCCTGTCTGTTGCGTAACGTTTGATCTGATATTCTGTGTACCCCAGGGATCTGTGTGGTTGTAGACGTGGCTGTGGTAGTGCAGTCTCGGAGGTGTCGCAGCCGGATGTATCGATCTTGTGCTTGGGTTGTCACCCTTGGTCTTCCAGACCTTGGTCTGTCGTCAACTCTGTTGGTGTTGTTGTATCGGGTCCACAGTGCGGAGATTGTCTGTCTGGATACGCCAAAGTGCCTGGCCACTTCTTGCTTCTTGCTCCTTGCTCCGCCTCTACTGCCGTTATAAGGATATAAGGACTGTATGAACAGCCGTTGATGTGGATTTTTATACCCATTCAGCAGGGGGGCCTGCATGCCTAAATGCAGAATCCTGTGCTGCACGTTTTTTACAGGCGGTTGCGTTTGGATGAAGCTGTAAAATTG